GATGAAGAGGCTGACCAGTTTCTTTATCATTTAGCATGTTACATTGCTACTGAAACTTTTCAACACTGAACATTTTACTGATTCCCTTTTCTCTACCATCTGTCTGATCTGGCCTTTTTCCAAATAATGCTGCTTTCCCAGTGGACATGGTTGTCCTGGTAGAAGAGTTTTCAGTCAGGGTAAGGAAAATTCACATTTTGTTCAGTTGCTTCTTTGATATTGCATATAAATATTGAATGGCCATATAAACTCCACAGTTTGTAGATTCTAAGATGCATGCTAAAAATACCTGTTTGTCACGAACTCTAACTTGTGCTATATTTTATTGAAAACCTGACACTGTCTGTTAAAAATATTTGGTTTTCTGTCTTTATGTTCTGTGTAAGTTTGCTTATTTTGACATTTACTTTATTACAGTACCTGAAGAACGAATGTTTTGAAATTTGGTTGTCCGGTTAAAAAATGTAAAGTTCTAGATTGCACACAGCATTGTAGAAATGTAAATTCAGCACTTTGGAAATAGTTGTCTTATCTTAGAAGTTCAACATGAAATGTCTTAGGAAAGATAGTATATTTTAGAAGCTGAGAACTTAGGCATGTGCCATTTTATAGACTGTCAAGTTGGGCACAAAATCACAAATCTCTTCTTGACCAATATCTTAGGAAGTCTAGATTTATTTAAATTATGTGTTGTAGTCATATATTGCTTTAGGTATTATACCCAAGGACATCAAGAGAGAAATTACATCCTACAGATCTAAGAAAATGCAATGCATTATTAAAAATGCATATGAGAAAGCATTGTATTTTTACATTAATGCACAAGTGTATTAACTGTTGAAAAGGCAGAGAGGTCTCATTTTACCTTCTTCTCTTATGCTAGAATCACTTTCATGCTAGTAATTAAATAGTGTGTTTTATCATGAGCAATTGTAATAAAATCTACCAGATACTGACAACTTCTTTTAGGAGGAGCATATTACATTCTATTTTGAATTATGTAGATCATCTCTGAACAGTGTTAGAATTTCTTGTTGGGCAGTTAACACTAGGTATACCAGAATACGTTTCACAAGCTTCACTTTTTCTTTAAGAGAGAGAAATGTCTTTGGTCACCTGTAGTTCTAGTTTCAAGAAGGATTTTCATCCATTCAACTGAAAGAATGAACCTTTGGCTTTCAGGATCTGTGGCTGTGTCAGAGTCACTCCCAGCTCTTGCCTGGGATCTTCAAACAGCTGTCTTCTCCTGCAGGAGCTGCAGGGCCAGCACCGAGCCCTGGCTGCTGGGACAACACCTTGGGATTCGGTCCTTGCTTTGAGAATTCACAGGGAGGGCAGCTGAAACGTGTCAGCACTATTTAAGTCTCCCCTAGGCCATAACTTGAAGACTTGCATTTCATTTATATAAAGGCCCTTTTCCAGCTCCCTGGCAGTACAAATGTTGCATTCCCTTACCCTGTTCTGACCTGCAAGTTGGGAGTAGTGAATGTAAGCATGTCTTCATCTTTTGACCTGTGCTCATACACTGAAAGAATGACTGGTACCTGGCAAAAAGGAGAGTCAGGAGTGCCTGAAATCAAGGCAGCCAAGGACAGCAATTTCATTCCAAAGGCAGATAAAATTGATAAAACTGACATGTTAAAAAGCTTCCTACTGAGTTTCTACCTTGATAATTCAAAAAGTCTCCCAGGAGAAATAGAAAACATTAATTTTCTGGGTTTCATCTGGCATTTCAGAAAGTATATTTTCTACATCAGTGTAGATTTCTATAACAAGAAAGCTCTTTCTCATCTTTTGGGGGCAACCAAGTTCAGCACATAAAGCAATTTTTTTTCGTTTATTTATAAGTTTATAATTTTTCTAGTGTTGCTGTGGGTTTTTATTACACTATTTGAAAGATCCCCAGTGATCAACATTCAATGTAATCATCTGGAATTGTGTCTGGATTCCATTTTGTGCAATTATGATATTGGCTTACCACATTTTCTTTACTAAGCAGACACTCAGCACTCATAGTGCAGGATGTAGCTTTACAGCCAGTTATTACTCTGGTGAGCTATTTGAAAAAAACCCACCAGACTTTAACTTGCTGGAAAACAAACATATTCTCATGTAAATTCCTGAAGAGAAAACGGACAGATTAACAAGTATGACACAGGGAGTCTGCTCTCTTCAGCAAAGTTTGCCCAAAGGCTGGGAAGCAGCTGAATTACTGGATAATATTAATACTTTGTTTTTACTGTGGAACAGATGTATGCTGCCAGATCCTTTTCCTGTGGGGAAAAAAAGAACACAAAACAACAACAAACACACTGACCCTCTCCACATCCCAAACTTAGCATGTTATATATGTTATATATGAATAGAATATATTGCTTTCAAATGTCAGCCAGCAAATTTGCCATCAATTCTTGTGAGATGAGAATCAGCCCTTGTATTAATGAAAGATTCACTGTTACTTAATTATATGAATGTTGTCAGAAAACAGTCTTTCTGATCAGAGCATAGAAATTGGGTTGTGATGTTAAGTATATTGTTTTGTTGCAAGTGTTTTTTGGATTAACACTGTTGACGCTGAGCCCTGTTTTTGTAGACTTGGTTGCTAAAAATAGACTTATGCATGGAATTTATTTTAAAATATTGTGTTGTTTTTTTTTTTTTTAAAGAGATAGAGATGTTTGGAGAGGGCAAAATCTGGATCATAGTTCTTGTAACAAATGAAAAATGTGTGCTATTGCTTGTTGCTTTTGTAGACTCTTAATTTCCACATTAATCTGAGAATTGATTAATCTGTAGCATGGGATATATCTTACTGTTCTATTGTTCCTGGCAGTGTTTAAACGATCATCACTCCAAATGTTAGCTGGAGAGGACAATTACTGCCATTGATTACTGCCATCTCACTGCCTCTGCAAACCTGGGTGAGGTTGCTTGTTCCATGAGGAGTCTGTGTATGAGGAACTACCCTTGCCATTAGGGTGTTCTGGTCGAGATGTGCTGCATGGCAGCTCTAATAATGGCCCCAAGATGTTCCCTGAATGTCTTGTCTCCCTGTAGTTTCTCCTGCCGTGCCAGCATCACTGCTGTTGGATCTCTCTGGAGCACAGCTGCAGCACAACCCGCCGTGTCTCTGCCGCCCGTGTTCATTGCTGCCCCTCCACGGCAGAGCTGGTAATCAGTTTGAGGTGCCTCAGCAAAGCTGGCATGTGTCCTAAAATCTGGCCGTACAACTGAGCCCATGCTAAATAATGTAACTTTCCATATGAATGGCCCCTTCAAAGCCAGTAGGAGCACTCAGAAAGGCTAAAGCTCGGCATGTGGGTCAGCAATTTCAGTATGCCTTCCTCTTTTGGAAAGGGCTATGTGGATTTGTATTTTCAAATGCTGTGAAAGGGAAGCCCCTCCCACATCTAGAGCCATCCACAAAAATATTCTGGATAGCAAAGACAGCAGAACATGTCAGTCATGCTATCCTTGCACTACTCAGACATCTGTGAAAATTTCATGCTTCTGTGAGCAGATTCTCCAAAGGGCTGAATTTGGCTGCGTGTCTTTGAGTGCATACTTGCATTTTCCCCGCTGTGCCTGTCTGTTGTATGTTTTTAGTTGTCCTTGGTATTTGGGGAAAAAAAAGAAAAAGCACATATTAAATAAAATGTATAAATAACAGGAGACAGCAGGCTTAAAATGGCAAAAAGCAAGAAAAACAGACTTGCTGTAAACCTGGAAATACTGTTCCCAACTCCTAGTGTGTGCAGGAAATGCAGCACATATGGCACATGGAATCACCTGGAGCTAGGCCTCTCTGTTGCACCTTGGCATAGGAGAGCAGGAACAAAGCAGAGATGCAGATTGTAACCCTTAGTGGCCTGGTGTCTGGTAAGGATCAGCTTAAGCCTGTTCTTTTACTTGGGTTCCAGTTCACAAATATGAGATGTTAAAAATAGAATCATTACTGAATGATCCCTTTTGTACTTAAATGCACTTGATATCAGTGCATTTTTGTTGATTAGAAATTTTAAAAATAATTCTTTCTAGTGTGTAGGAAATACATATGGATGTAATTGTACCCTTTCTTATAGAAAAGTTGGATTTTATTATAATGACACTTCATTTATGATGCTCCTTGAAAAAGCTGTTTCTGATATTATGCTTTTAAGTGAGCTTCTCAGTGTTCCTTACAATCATTAATGAATCAGACGTTAGATAAAGACAGTGTAGGTATGGCAGCATATCATTATACAGGGGAGTAGAGTGAAGCATAAGGATGTAAATATTTACTACATCTTGCACAATGTTGAGGAAAAGATAGCTCTAAGGGTAGGATGATGTTTTTTACTGTTCATAGTGAACTCATCAAAAAAAGAACCCTTAAAAATTCAAACCTTTCCTAACTTTCACTCAGCATTGGCAAAGGATTTTGTCTGGGAAGGAATAAAAGAAAATTAAAAGAAAAAATCTCAGAACATCTGATATTGAGTACTTGAAGTTTTTTTGTTTGTTTTGGTTTGGTTTTTTAAATTTCATTTTCTTGAAAAGGCTTCCTTTTTTTTCTTTCTTTTTTTTGTTGTTGTTGTTGGTGGTGGTGGTCTGGGTTTTGGGTTATTTCTTTGGTACTTTTTTTGCATTTTTCATTTATTTGGAAAAAGGAGGATAAAAATCTTCAGAATGATAGAAAATACTTGCAGATTGATGCCAATCCATAGGATTTTATTCATACAAGAGAGGTTTGTTCAAACCCCCAAAACCTGCTACTTCTGTCTCTCTTTCTGCTCTAGAAAATTATTTCCTTTATCCAGCTTACTTTACCACAGATCATCTTGATACCACAAAGTATGTGCCCTGTTATACTAATGCATGTGCATCTCTGCTCAGTTTGTCTGTCAAAACTTAAAGGTTTTTCTGTATTTCATGCATTTCTAGAACAAAATGGGTATTAATTGTCATGCATCAAGCAAAACATTTTTTACTCTTTTTTTTTTTTTTTTTACAGGGGCATCTTCACTATCACAGGCTGGTATTATACAGTTTTATGATTAACTGGAATCTTATGCTTAGAAATAGAGAAGTGCCAAGACTTTAAACTTGTGAGTATAATTACATGTATTTTTAGAAATTGAAATGAGCTTATGCAGAGATTTTCAAAATAGACCTAGAAGGAGGAACAGAAAATGTCCAGCAAAGTGTATGCATTCAGAAGTTTTAAGAACATTTGTTATATTTAAAAGACAAAAATTACTTGGAACCCTAGAAAAGGCAGCAGCTGTTAGCCAGTGGAACTTTTCTTCTGCACTAGTATTTTCTGTTTAATAAAATTTCTGAAATGTTGCTGTGTAACTATCCTGAAATGTTGCTGTGTGTACTGGGATAATATATTTAAACGATATAAACAATAAAATACAATTTTATGTCTTTTATTTTTCAAAAAGTAGTGGACTTAGGAACATAGTGTAGTATATGATGCATGAATTGTTAGAAGAACAATGTGTATGTTCACTTGAGACAAGGAAAGCTAGAATGTTCTGACTGTAATTAGCAGTTATTGGGGAGAAGGACTCTGCTTTTCAAAATGGTTTGTTTGCAGTAGTTGAAATTTGATTAATGCAAATTATCCCTTTATCATATCGTGGCTGTTTGAAAAAAGTGGCTTTAGTACAGTGGAATTGGTTTCAAAGGCACTTGGAAAGAACATTTAACTATAAGCACGTGAATGAAGCTGTCTCTCCCTGTGCAGACTGATTTTAACAGCCACAGGTTCTGAGCTCTGCACAGAATGCTGCAGACCAAAAGAACTACAGCTGTTTTTGTCCTTTTTCTCCTCAGTTTATGTATGCTGTGACAATATAAGGGTTTTGGATCAAAGCTGAATTGCATTTGACTGCCCTGGAGCAGAGAGCAGAAGAACTTATATAAGAAGAACTTATATTTAATTTCAAAATTAAATGCAGTGGGATTTTCAGTGAAGGTGTTGCAGTGAAGACTTAAGAGTTTAAGTTTGACACTAACTGTTGCAGTCTCACTTTGGTATCTGCACTGAGTTTGTGACCTGATGCCATGTAATCCTCTCTTCAGGATAAAGTCACTACCCTGTCAGGTTTGCATTCTATTGTATTCACCTTTTTTTGCTTTTTGTATTTATTATGATTAGATTTACATGTTTTAAATGTGTTGGGGGTTGCCTGAATTAGAAAAATGAGTTTTGATGACTTAATGGAAAAAAAGGAAGTGAAGAACAACAGATATATTGAAATTTCCCACCTGAAATCCCAGGGATGGGGCAGGGCTAAAAATTCTCAGTGATGGCACTCTGAAGGGGGCAAAGAGGGGACAAATGTGCGATTTCAAATACCCTCAAATTCCTGACTGAGTTCTCTAGTTTTTGTATGATAGAAGATACAAGAAGTTGCCAACACCAGTGCTCTTGTAGAAACAGGATTTATGGAAGTTTTAGGTAGCCTAAACTGTTTTCAAAGTGGGCAGTTACTTTTTGGTTGTCTCAATCTGCATTTTTTTGCACACCTATTTATTGGGTAAAAAACCCAGCAATGTCTTTCAGTGTTAGTGACACATGAATGAATGAAGCCACTGATAGTTACTGAAAGCACTTTTGCTGAAGTAGCCAAAATTAAACATTTTATTGGTAAAAGAGGATAGCAGCAGCTTTGATGTCTCAAACTCTTTTGGTGTTCCCTAAAGATTTTCACACCAGCTACTCATTTCAGGTGGAGAAAACAGCACTTGGGAGTCAGAGAGCAAAAGTGTTCAGTGAAGAAGTTTATTCATCAGGGAAGAGTTTCATTGGAGTTGGAAGGCAAACACAGAAAAGTAAACACAGCCCACTGGATTGCAACAGGTTAGTAAATACAAATGCTGTAGCATTCCCATAAAGCTCTTTCTGTAGAGGCAGCTGTTATGTGCAATGTATTGTGTTATTTTATCATGATCACATTTTTCTAAGTTATATGCCTTTTTTCATTTTTAGTGTGCTTTACTTATAAAAGTTGTTTGAAGTTAGTGAATAATAGCACTGAGAGACATCAAAGTTTCAGAAAAGTATGGAGAAAAGGTGTTACAATTTAGATGAATCAGTCATTATTGAGGTGTTTTGGGATCTGCTGGTTTGGCTTCTAATGTGCATTCAGAACACCATCTTGTGGCCTAAGTTTCCAGTAATGTGTTGCAGTTGTGAACTATTTTCGTACCTCACACAACAGTGCTGAGAACTGAGATACCTCTAACTCCCATGAACGTTGTGGCACAGCTCCCACTGAGCTTTATCGAAGGGAGAGGAAGGATCATTAGTGGCTTTTGTGAAGTGCAGTGAGGTACTGATGAAATGATCTGCATCAACCTGAATTGCTTTTGCTCATTACACATGGAGCAAACAGAGGAGAGAGAATATAAATGATTTCTTTAATATCAAGGGGCTAAATTTTAGGTGGCATATTGTAAGTGAAAAACTGGCCTTTTGCAAGGGCATTGACATACTACCTTTTGTTCCCTTCAGCTTGTCTTTTTAAACTTTCTGTTGTTTCTTTCTATTCATGCAAAGTTGTCAAATTGTAAACACTTCCCTATTGACAAAATACACTTATGCCAGCAGTAAATGTGTTGGCATGAAGGGTTAATCTACTGTGGACAAGCATTTCTGAACTATTCTAAAATATCTCTTTTCTGACTATTCACAGCTATGGGCTAGCAGATAAATTCTAATCATTCATAGACAGCAACTGCTTAGTTCTTTTGCAGAGAAGTTGAGATGAGAGGGTTGTATTTTGCCATATGCTCTCACTGTCCTTCAAGCATTTCTTTGTGTGTGTCTTGTTTGAGAGTTCCATAAGATGGAGAAAAACAGAATTGTTCCTCAAAGAAAAGGATAGTACAGTTTTCAAGCATTGCCCTACTTGTCAAATTTCTTGTGACTATCTCAATATAAGATGATATACAAGGACAAAAAAGGAGGTGAGGTAAAAGATTTATAACTGAAATAATGCCAGCACACTTACTTCTGCCTGTACCAGACTCTGTTATACATTAATAATTTGGCCTTAACTTGTAAGAGATAGATCCAGGTTTTTCTGTTTTTACACTTCAGTCACAGGACTGATAGGTTGACTGGGAGGCCAAGTCAAGCTAAGCTATAGATAGATAGATTAGATAGATAAACAGACAGACATAGATATATATATGTATAATGTTTTTGTATGAGAAATACAGTGCTAAGTTTTGCTTTAACTGAAACATAGAAATAAATATTTTTAATTTATTTATATTTTCTTTTAGCAACACAATATTTATTTGATTTTCTCATTATGGTTAGCTTTCATGTGACTTTTCAGGCACTCCAGTAATATCCCTGTCTTCTTATTCTAGTGAGAAAAAAACTTGTTTTATCAAGGCTACTTTCAATGCTTGATCATATGTGAATTGACAGAACAACCTACATCCTATTTCTATTCCTTTTATTCTGTAGATTTTTACCTATGCAACTTGCAGTAATTCCTATGAAGCTGTCACAAACTCTTCTATCCAAAACTCTTCTATCCAAATTACTTACAGATCCTGTTGTTCAGGGATTGTTGAGATGATAGATTGCTATGGTCTCTCTTGTTAATGTGTGCTTAGGGAGTCCTTCATTTACACAATAGACTTATTCAATTTTTTGTGAAATATGGTTATTACTCTTGCACAGAAGACACATGCTTGATCTAGATATGGCTTGCTTTTTTTTTTTTTTTAATGTATAAAAATAGGGTGTCTCTCCACAAAACTCTGCTTTTAACCTTACAAAGTAATTGCCTTTACCTTGCTATTTGAAGGACTGACAATTTCATGTACTGGACTGTTAATAACATCTGACAAGAAGTCCAGCTGCAACAGAGGCAGATTGAAGCATGACTGATGGTTAAGGTGCTGGAAACAATGAAAAATTCCCTGAGAAGTGTATTCCTATCTCCACTGGATCAGCGATGTGGCACAAGTATGGTTAGGATAGTCTGGTACTGGTTGTGGACTTGTGTATGAGAAACTTTTTAATATTTGAAGGGATCAGATAGCATTTTTATTCAGCCCCTTTAAATGAGGATGGTGTTGACTTTAAAAACGTTTTCTTACTCAAATGCTCCTTTGATGTTATTATTTTCGTTATAGTGCCATTTCTTGGTAAGACATCTGTGCTGTGACTGTGTAGTGATGGGCTGAGGATCTAAAACTGAGGCAGGAGAATACAGAAAATAATTCTAAATATAATCCTGTCAGTGTTTGTTTCTGTCTCACTTCCTCTAATGGTATTGTCATGGCAGTAGGCTGTGCCTGCTTACGTAGTAGCTCATAAGGCTGAGCCCTCTGCTTGAGTCAGGAGTCTCCTAGACTATGAGTGTGTGGAGAACATGAACTGAGGAATGCAGGGAGATCCTGGGAGCTGCTTTGTTCATAAGATCAACAGCTGTATCAGCTCTGCTGACTGCATCCTGTGCAGTATCTGATATTTAAGATTTTGTAGTCTCAGTTGTACTTTTAGCTTTGACTGGGCACGTGAAACCACATACCTTAGAGAAAGAAACTAAATAAATGGATTGTATCATTCAATTTCAGGGGATTTATCCACTCTATCTTGTAATTTTTACTTACATGAATAATTTTTGTTTACACATTCTTAATTTGAATGGGATTACTTGCATTAGTGATAATGTGCGTGGCAGGTACAGGATTAGTTCCTGTATTTGTCAGTGGTGTCAAAAGCAATAGAATATACAGTAATTTGGTTACATTTTCAATTATAATCTGAAATTAAAGAGCTTTATTTTGGAGCTGTTGCTCTGAATTGCAAGTATTGAGATTTGTAATTGAATTCTGAGATAGAACTTTCCATACATTTGTAATGCAGAAAGCTTCTCATCATGTGAGATTTGCTTGGCAGATGAATGGTCACCACTTAGTAACAATATTAAATCCTGCATTTCAAGAGTCAAAAGGACTGGAAGCTGCTTCTAGGGTAAAGTTTTAATCTATTTCATATCTCAAAATTCTATAGTGTGAAATTACTAGGTTGAGAAACATTTTGATAAATATTTGAGTATGTGCTGTGATTAATTTGTATTAAAATTATACTTTGAACTAGAGTAATTCACATTGGTAGGACACCTGATGAGGCAGACATGAAAAAGGCTCCAGGCAAACCTCCAATGGAAATTTATCTGCCTTGAGAAATTTTCGGGGCTCAGAGGTAAAATTTGATATAGTGTGAATGGGTGGCAGGATGAAAATAAATCATGCTGCAGCTAGCCTGTTTTCCACAGCTACAGGTTTGGGGGTTTTGCTCTTTATTTTTTTTTCTTTCTTTCTTTTCCTTTTCCTCCCCTTTTTAAATTTTGTACTTGCACAGCCTGTTTTTTAAAGATTTATTTAAATCTGATTCATGTGCAGCTTTTAGCCTTCATGTAATTAAACAGCAAATCTTGGGAAATTAATAATTTTGGCAAAAGCTATTTTTTCAATGTTCAAGACTTTTATTGCTGGATAAATACTATATACGTTTATATAAAACTTTCTTTCACATGGAATAATGTCTCCTCAGTAAAAAAAAAGTGGGAAAAGAAAAAGCTTTCAATAGTTTGAATACCAGATAGATGCATATCATGCCAGCCATTGTGGCTGCAAGTCACTTTGTATGCAGAGATGTCCAGTGACTGGGACTCCAATCACAGCTTATTTGACAAAGAGGCAACAGTAGACAATGAATGCAGTCCTGGTGTTTGCTCACAGTAAGTGATACTGCAGGAACTACCTCTCTGAAACACAAGATGTAAAGTTTTTTGCTTTAAGGTACTCTGGCCATTTTGGAATCAAAAATATCTTCTTCATGGCCAGCTTTCATACTGGTCTGAGAAGGCGGCTCAGGACTTTGCCAGCTCCTTGATCACTGGAAGTGTTCCAGACCACAGCAGCAGTTGTTTCCCTATGTGTGTGTGTATATATATATATATATATATATATATATATATATATATATATATATATATATGATATAAAATACTTCCATTAATTTTTCCCTTGAAATTAGATAAAGGATAATCACAGTTTGGTGTCTAATAAAGACTTCATGTTCTGATTTACAGTAAGTATTTCTAATGTTCAGGTTTATGTTTTGTAAACTGCTGGATTTACTTTAAAAGCAAATATAACAAACAGTGAAAACCTGCTGTCATCAATTGTACTAGAGATTGCAGCTATGTGAGAGTTGGCTTGATGTCAGGAACGAAAAATGGGTACAGAAATACCCAGGTCTGGAGAACCTGCCTTTAGAATTACGTGAAGAAGGAGGAAAAATGGGACGTATTTTTTTAGATGACCAAAAAGTAACAGCAGATTTTAGTCCTCTTGTAAAGAACACAAGATTAAGGTATAGATGAAGGGGCTGAGAATTTAAAAGCTGACCTGATTTTCTTAGTCATATCAGATGGTCTATAAGAATATTTAATTTTTCAGACAAAGCTTCCTTGTCTTGTAGCTGTAGACACCTGGGCTACTACTTAAGACACAGAAAGACTGTGAAAGAAAAAGGAAATGATATACGAAATATTACAGAAACAGTTTGACATTCTTGCAAAATAGGGGTTTCTGCTGAATGAACAATAGGCAGTCTGGTAGATTTAGATAATTGTCTTAGCATCATTAATAGCTTGAGTTAGTAGAGAGGATTTAGGAAATTGAAGTTGATATGTCCAAATACTGAAATGAAGAACAAGATTTGCATATTTTTGATCATAGACTCATTCATTATTCAAGTCGTGTTTTCATCTGCAATAGGTGAGAGAAGACCACCATAGACTGTAATGATAAAAGCAAGGGCAAAATTTGACTGTGACTCAGGGGGAAATGACTAATCTTTCCTGATTTGTTCTGAATCTTGACATGTAGGCCTCAAATACTCTAATTTATGTGAAAATGTATTCTTTGGTCCCTCAGCTATTAAAAGTTGTAATAATGCAAGAGCACAAGACCAGAAAAAGCTTTTAAAAGATTATTCTCCTAAATAAGTGATTCTAAACTCAGATTATATCCACTAGATGCTGTATTTTCTGATTTGCCAGGGAGTTAGCCACAAAATTCACATTAAAGTCAATGGGAGTTACTAAAATCAGTGAGAGTTGTGTGCCATGATGGCATGTAAACTCTGTAAATTTCTCAGATAATAGCAATCTAATTAGTGGTGGAAAATATAAAGTATCAGAGTAGATAATATATGAGTAAATGAGCCAAATATCTAACAAAATGAAAAACACAATGGAAAAGAGAAGATGGATGAAAAAGAGATGGTTGAATACATTGAGTTATGTAAGACTGTAAAGGAGAATTTGTAAGGTTTCAGGAAATAGAATTGCTTGAGAAGCTGAGGGAAAACTTTTTAGATCTAAGAAAATCATCTTCTTTCAAAGAAATTGGGAAAAAATGAAGTCAATGTGGCTGTTGCAGAAGGAATTAAACTTAGATGCCCCATGAAAAGTTCCAATTTTTATGGGTGCTCTGTTAGCAGAACAGATGAAGAGACATAAAAAAACCAACACATGGATTTTAACAAACAATAAATGGGCAGTACGCAAAGCAGTTGAATTGTGAATTGCTCATAGGTAACGTACACATTTCTTATGACATTTAATTTAAAAATTTAACTGCTACATTAAGCTGGCTTTATGCCATGAAGAGCATATTTACAAGCAGTGTTTTACAGGTGGTCACAATTGGTGATTTAATACACAGGCCATCTTTGCAGCTGTGTAGCAAATCAGATGAACAAATGGGATTTAGTGTCATTGAGAGATTGCATAAGCTCTCCAAACTAATGAACTTTGTAATGTGTGAAAGTAAGATAGTGCTCCGAGTACAAAGCAAAAGAAGTTACAAAACCCCCCAAGAACAGCAGGAGAGCACAGGTAAAGGTTTTGAATAGATGCCAAATACTAGAAGGTACAACAGAGATAAATAAAGTACATAGTAAAGATACAATATAATAAAATACTGTAATTTGGGCTGTCAGCATGAGTGTAGTGAGTTCAAAATAGAACAAATGAGTTAGCTTTTATGGGTGTTTAACCACAAACTGCCATAAACAGAGACTGCTGCTGGTAATGCATATTCAAATGCAGCAAACATGTTATTGGGAAAAATTATATAAAATCACACTATAAATTTTTTGGTTATATTTATTGAATTTGTCCGCTAGGCATCTGCTATTTGCCTTTTGCAGACTTGACATCTGCAGAAGTGGTAGCTTCAGTGCCATTTCCCACAGTATCATGGAAATAATTATGACCAATTTCCATAGGGTATCCCTGCCCATGGCAAGGGTTGGAACTAGATGATCAGTGAGGTCCCTTTCAACCCAGGCCATTTTATGGTTCTGTAATAACAAGAAGACTTATTTTGGACATGGACAAACCAGATTCAACAGGCAGTTCACAATAGTTCCAGAAATGCCTCCTGTAGCACGGGGCTTTTTCCCCAAGTGATGTTAACTGAAAGTACAACCAGATCAGAGAAAAAAAAAAAAATTCTCATCTCAGGCCATTATTTGGGTATGTGGAGTAACTATGACAGATGGGTGTCCAGTGCTTCAGGACAGCTGTTTTCATGTATTCTGCCAGAATGGTTTCCTTAGAGCTTTGTACCACTGGCTTCTTGGCCTGTTGTTGTAGCTTAAGAGCTGCAGAGGGTAGGTAATGTCTAAGAAGCACCAATTCCTGGCCAGTGCCACGTGCAAGGCTGCAGTGCTGTCTCACAATGCTACATCAGAGTATTTCTTCACATGTAATGATTGCTATTCCGGTGTCCCGTGTTGCTTCGGAAATGGATAATGCAAATACTTCATGCCTTCCTAAGAGGTATTTTCTGGGCATCTTATCTGCTCTGATTTCCAGTAGCACAAAGTATGGGTCTTTCAGCAGCTCTTCCAATCATCATTCTTAACTGCATCTCAGAACCACTCTTACAAACTGATCAAAGATAAAGTTTATTCTAATGATTAGTTACAGAAATAAGACAGATATTATTTTCTTATCTATCTATGTATTTATATAAAGTTATATTTCTTTTGTGATAATGTTTTCTATTCATTCTAAAAGTACCTAGATTTTTCCATTATTTTGTTTTCTATATTTAATTTTTGATAGCTTTATTAAATTAGTTCCCATCATTCAGTTCTTAATATCTTCCTCAACACCGTTACTATTCACACAAAATGTTAATCTTGCATTTGAAGAGGCAATAAACCTAACTGTAAACCAGGATCCTATGTGTATTTCCTAATGCCATTCCTAATTTACTTCCAAGCAAACAGACCCCCAAACCAAACCACCACCACCAAAAACACCTCACAATAAAATAGACAAATAACCCCCAAACTAAAACAACAAAAAAACCCAATCCCAAAAAAGCCCCCCCCCCCACCCCCAAAAAACCATAAACAAAAACCAACCCCCCAAAACGCCCTATAATTAATTAGCAGATTATTCTGTTATTTTAACAGAAGAACATCTGAGGAAAATTCAGGTTTTAGAGTAAAATGTTTTAGAATAAAATTTCAGTTCTTTATTTATTGTTCAGTGAATTTTCTGCAAATTTGCTGGTATTTAGTAATCTACTGGGAAGGCCTGCCACCAGCTCTAGCTTTTATCCCAGTTTTTCAGTTGTTCTGTCAATGTTTGATGAGGAAATTACCTGCTACAAAAGAGACATTTGAGAATCAAAGATAGTAAGTAGGAAAAATCTCCAACTTCTTCTTAATTTAATTATTATTTTTAGAATTCTTAATTTGCTAATTTCATTAATTATTAAATTAATTAATCTAATATACCTTAATTAGTATAGTTCAATATATTTATTTCTCTAAAGAGATGTTATATTTCAACTGGGGTTTGAAATAAATTTTATGTAATTAGCTAGGAATTTTCAATTTTTTATATGCAGTCTAAGGAACACAGTAATTTTCTTTTCCTGTTTTCTGGATTATACTTACTAATTTCTCTCTTCCCATTGGACACATGCTGTATTTTCATAGGAGCTTGGTTCCAAGGGCCTCTTTTTTCCTTCTGCTATGCAGTGTTTTTAGTTATCTTACTGTTTTACAAGTATATACTTACATACCTCTTATATCATAACAAGAAGAGCAAATTTTTTTTTGTTCATTTTCACACTTTGGTGATAGAAATTAAAAATCTTTTCTCCTTCAAAGAAATATTAAGATGCTTGGAGTAGTGTCTTCATTTTTAACCCTGCAATCGCTAGGATATAAGCGATTAAATTTTGTATGTTCTCTGTTTTTAAAGTAATAACTGTTTCTAAAGTAATCAGAAAGTAAGGAAACATATTTCCACACATACTGAAATTAGTCAAATGACTTAGGAGAAAGCTGAACTGAAATCAAAATAAACCTGCAGCTGGTTTTTGCTAATCTTCTCAAAATGCTGCCATGGCTTTTGGAACATTCCACACATTTTCAGGTTAGGCACTTCTGGCTTTCAAACAAGACCAAAATTAGAATTATTGAAGGAACCATGACACAAGCAGTTTTCCCACAATATTTTTAGCTTGATTACAAGCAGATTTCATGGGAATTTAGTGATTTAGTTCATTCTGAGATTTATTGTACCATTCAGAAAATTTGTTCTATTTTGCCAATCCTTCCAGCCAAAATGTAGGCCATGGAAATTTTTTAATTCTCCCTTTACTGATCAAGCTTGTAATGATATCTATTCCTTGTGTAGAAAATAGATACTCATGAGTATGGAAGATGACTTCTCCCTGAATTAGGATTTAAAAAAGGAGATACTATAAAAAGGAACTTGACAGTGCAGTAATAGTAGCAGGAAACTGGGAGGTTTTTAAAAAGCAGATGCTCTTGTGAACCAAAACACAAGTTCTGGAGGCTCTGACACGTTCATGATAAATTTAAAAATACTTGAAATCTGAACACTTTCTCATCTTATTTCATTGAAATTCAAATTATATTAAACTTCCACTTTAAAATGAACATGCAGATGCTTAGATTTTTTTTTTCCTTTGCAACAAAATTACCTTCTGATGAAATTCAGTGAAAGCAAAACACTTAAACTTTAGACAAAAAGTTGACAGGCTTTATCCAGTTCTTTAGAATCCCAATAGAAAATAATTACAGCAGAGATTGCATAGATGTACAAGAAAGCTGACATAGCCCGTGACATTTTGGTTCTATTTCCTGTCTCTAAAAGCTCGGATCTGCACATCTTTATATAAGCAATTAAAGGTATATTTTGACGTGCATGAAAAATATGGAAATGTACTCATAAAGTTCTCATAGGATGCTTTTTGATTCTTATAATCCGTTCAATGAGCATTGAATCATACTTGTAAGTATACTCCTCACTGAATTTTTTCCTCCTAATTTCTCTAATTCTCTGCAGGGGTCATGTGGAAGAGGTGGAAAATTTCTGCAATGAAATTTGAAGAGATTTTTTCACTTTAAGAAAAATATAAAGAAAGGTCATATGGCTATCTTTGTAGCTGCAGCAGAAATTAGATTTCACAATGCTCTTAAAGGAAGTGTCCAGATCTGCATGGTGACAAACCACACTGAGGTTTGTCACTGATCTCTTGTCTTCATGAACTTCATTATTATATAACAGTATCTTCATTTGTGTTTGAAGTCCTGTTTATAGCAGTTGATAACTGTTTTAGTATCATCCATGTTTACTGCTGAAGTTTTGCCAAAGGAACCCCCATGTACCGTCAGAAAAGCCCCTGGGATCCCTGAACAGTAACTAGACTTGCCTGCAGCCAGCATAAGCCCTGTTCTTCCTGGCTGTTTCACAAAAGTGGGAACAAAAGCATCTCTGTGCAGCACCTGAAACTCCTCTGTCACCCAATGTAAAATGTTTCAGGAAGCCCTTGGGTTTTTGCCCAGAGGCAGATTTTGGATCTGAAACTGGTATTTCTTTAATCACTGAGTGTGGATTTGGCATTTCACGTGTAGTTTATACGATCATAAAATGGAAATCTCTTACCATAAGTATTTTTGTTTGTTTAAGTTAAGGAGTGGATGGAATACATCTTATGAAAAAACACCAGTGACTGCAAGCAGTTTAAAATGATCTTATGAGTTACAAGAGGCTTCTCAGGCATGGAACACATTTTCAGCACATCAGTCAATTTGTAGGTATTGCTCAAAATTCCTGGAATTAAAGCTGGCCAGAACTGCGGGGGACAATAAAAAAGTTTTTTTGAATATATTAATGGCAAAATACAGTGTGGGAATAACATGAGCCCATTACAGGATGAGGATGGTTGCCTCACAAACAGGGACATGGACAAGGCTGAGCAGTTTAATGCATTCTTTGCCTCTGTCTTCAACACAGATGATGGGCCAAGGCAGGGGTCTCAGAGTCCTGAGCTGGAGGACCATGACTGTGAGAATAATCAACTAACTCTCAGTAAATCCTGAAATTGTGTGGGATATGATGCTCCAGCTGGATCCTTACAAATCTATGGGGCCTGATGTGATTCATCCAAGAATCCTCAAGGAGCTAGCTGATGTTATTGCAAAACCCTTCTCAATGATTTTTGAGCAATCTTGGGAGTCTGGAGAGGTCCCAGCTGGTTGGCAAACATTATCCCAGTTTTCAAGAAGGGCAAGACTTAGGACCCTGGAAACTACTGGCCTGTTGGTGTCACTTCAGTGCCTGGTAAAGTTAGGGAGAAGATTATTATGGGAGGTATTGAAAAACACCTGAAAGACAGTGCAGTCACTGGTCACAGCCAGCACAGCTTCACGAGAGGAAAGCCTTGCTTATCAAACCTGATTTCCTTTTATCAGTAAAGTAAAAAGTAAAAGTAAAAGTTAAAGTAACCCACCTGGCTAACCTAAGGAAGAAGCCAGCTGATGTCATCCTCTTGGATTTCAGTAAGGCTGTTGATACTGCCTCTCACAGGATCCTTCAGGACAAAATGTCCAGCACACAGCTGGATAAACCAGTCAGTGCAATGGGGGAGCAACTGGCTCACAGTTTGGGCACAAAAGGGTTATAGTGAACAGGCTGATATCATCCAGTTTCAAAAGAGGGTCACGTCCACTTCCAGATTTCTACCAGTTTGGCTGCATTGTCTGTGAACTAAAATCTGAGTATTTCACACAGAAACTATGATAGAAAGACAAAAGAGGAGCTGCAGTAAGAGAAACTTGTCCTGTTTTTGTCCAGTCATCCATCCTAGGGAGAGGGAGAAATACTCAGTTTTATAGGCTATCCTGAAACTTTTTGTTTACATTAAAAGCCAGGTTGTTTACTAATGTGTAAATAGGATGCAGATTCAACTGATATGTCATAATAAGAATGTTGAATCCACTGAGAACCTGGAATTAGGTGTTTTTAGGACTAGAAGACTGAGCACATTTGATTGTCAGACTCTTCCCAAATGATAAGATTAATGGTTTATTGCAGCATATAATGGTTTATAACTGGTAAATTCAGATTTGGTACAGAACAGACTGAATAAAGAAGGAAGGAATCTGTTTAAAGATAGTTCTGATAACCTTAAGTGGAACAAGAGTTTTTCTTACTCTTCTTATACTGCAAATTTAACTATTTAAAATCTGTGCCAGAGGCTGGGGAAGACCATGTTGCAAAGCAAGTAGACTACATTATTTGGAAAGTTTTGACAAACAACTGATGTCTGCCTCTGACTTGGCAGAATGCAGGTCTTTGTGACCATTATGAACGGGCAGAGAGAACTTGCTTAAACTGTGAATGACAGAATCAGAATATTCAAGCATAATGTGAAACTAGATGTTATATAGAGTGAGTCAAACACTTTTTTTGTCAAGAAAAAAAATGGCAGAAATCCTTTCTTCTATCAACTGTTTAAAAAAAAAAAAACCCTATGAAGTACAATTAAAGAAACAGTGGGAAAGATTTTCCAGATAATCTACATGACAGTAGTATTTTGTATATATTTTGTTCTGGGAGTAGCTATTGTCACTAAATAGGTGTAAATACTTTTAGGAAAGCCAGGACTAAGTAAAAGCTAGAAATGTTTTCAAACATTTGCAATTTGCTGATGCAAATCTAACTCCAAAGGGAAATAGTTTTCTGTAACGAGTTCCAGATGTACTTGTAAAAGTTACAATGAAAAGGTAATTATGTTGTAAATAGTGGGAATGCTTTTCTTCATCAAAGTGAGAGTTTCTTTATTCCTGGACTCAGTTAGCTGGAATAAGAAATACACACTGGGAAGAGCAATTCTAAACCCCTGTTACTGATTCTCTAAATTACTCTTTCCAGGACAATCAGTATTTCCTTCAGACAGATCCTCTTTCTGATGAATGGAAACTCTACACTGAATACATAGAACACATGATTTTAGATGGGCTGTTCAAAGCTATCAAGTGTCTTCTTCCGTATCTGAATGAAAACACTGAGGCAACATTTAAATCCACTCCTTTATCTGAAGTGCAGCTTTTTCTTAATAGCATTGAAATAACTTTTAAACTTTCTTTGGGCTAAATGTCAATGGCAATTTCTATGATATTATGGGGGAACTAATCAAAACCAGCTATATACTGTATCACCTGTAGATAGACTGTTAAATACTTTGGAAAAGACCCTTTTCAGTTATTCCTACTTTTGCTACTTTTCCGTTTTTGTTTGTTTGTTTGTTTTTTTAAGTGTCACAGTTGACCTTTCCTCTAGGCTACATTAGAATGTAATTGTTTTGCCAGCTGACTTCACCCCTATCCAATGGCTAATGCCAAGAAGGCTAATATCTCAAGAGAGGATGTGAGGACTTTTTCCCATCTGTTCCCAGTGAGACGTCATATTTGACTCTCTATAACCTCTCCTTCTCTTGTTTTATGAATGTATCTGGCCATTTCCATCAGCCACCGGCACATATTTTAAAAATTATATTGGCTAACTTATTTTTAATTTCTTCTGGTTCACTTGCCAAGTTGAGAGTGGCTTTCTAATACACACTGAAATCTGCAACTGGATGGACTCTCTTCAAAGCTGGTTCGGGAATTTGCCATCTACTTTCACTTCTGCATTGTGTACAGGCAATCTTTGGCTTTACAGTGCCTGTTTTACTGAGAATTTGATGTCAACTTCTACATATTTCAGGCTGGGCACTTGTCAAGAACTGCTGGTTTCTTTGTGATTATAGGTTGAATGTTTGCTTTCTTGGTTACTACTTCCCATCAGGACACCTGATACTATTTCTGCTCCCAGATCTGCAAGTATAGCTGAGCTATGTATCTGCAATAATTTCCTTCTCTATAAGCTGGGAGGTTATGTCCACAGATAGCTGATGAAAGTGTTTAGTGAATTACAGTGAAATAATTATGCTAGAAATTTAATGTAAATGCAACTTTTTGTGCAAGAGTATTTTTGCCAGACTAGCAGGACATGCAAAGTCTTTGTGTAATTTCTTCCTTTTGCAGGTTTTTCATATGTGATGGAAACAAATATCAATAAATAAATATATCAAAATATCACAGTTTACACAGGCAAAAATAGATTAAATATAAATTGGTTACACTTTACAATAGTGGAAAGGAAACAAAGGAAAAAGTTGAACACAATATTGCATTTTTGGAGCTCTACTGGAAAGTGACACTGATGGCCATAATGATCTGAATCGCAGTCCATCTCACTAGCAAGTGCTGTAAGTTAAATCAACATGTTGGAGGATGTGAGTAATAGCAAGTGCACTGTTTTGTCTCTACCTGATGACAGTGGTACTTTGAATTTTTGATGTTAGTGTGATGCATGAAACAGAAATTATGATACTTGAGAAACATGTATCCAAGCAGTCATTTCTTATTAAGTTGTTTCAGAGAGCAGACAGGAAACCTGCTGCTGACTGACAAGTTATAATTGTCATTGCCATTAGTGCAATATCTTGAGTCTTGGCATGTGACTTAGCTTTAAGGATGTCTTTTCTTTCTTGAATTTAATCTTTGTCTCTTCTGCTTTTCCACTTTTGGATGATTGTTTAGCATCATGTAGATCAGATGGATACCCTGGAAGAAATAAGTCAAGTAGCCATGAGGAAGAGGGACTTGGCCACTGTCTCTGTTCTGGAACAACACTTTAACAAAGACTGGTACTCAATGGGTTGATGATGAAATTGTATGTGTGGAGCACTTTCTGCTCAGTGGACAATTTCTTAGTAAAGGGAAGTTGGAATTTCATTAAAATTCTGAGGGTCCAAAATGTTCATGAGACTTACTGCATTTTTCCAGATGATCTGAGCTAAAAGTCTCACAGGAAGCAAATGATTTTGATTTGGCAAACAAATACTGAAAATGTCTCAATTCACCCCTGCCTCAAAATTAAAAGGTTTTTCTGTACATAATCTGAGGCAGGTTAAATCCCTTTACTGTAAAAATCTACAGAGTAATCTTAACCTTGAAGGATTAGAGCACCCCTTTTGTGCAGGTAGGTCAAGTAATTAGCAGCTTAATCCCTTTGCAGGTGTGCAACCTGTCAGAGTCCTGAGTGCACTAATAATGGCCCTGACCAGCTCCTCCTGGGGCTCCTCCCCACACCCAGGGGAAGCTCATCCCTGTGGCCTCACTTCCTCTGAGCTATGGGGTGTTCCTGTCTTGCAGCCTCCCTTCAACCCTGCCCCTGGGGGTGCTCGGACCTGGCTGTGGACCTGTGCTCCAGGTGAGGCGGGCCCCACTGGCACACAAGCTGTGTGCTCTTGCTTGCCCTTATCTCTGTCTCTCTTACCATCCTGGCTCTACCTGCTGGTGAAACCCAGGATCTGTTTTACTGCTGACTGTGTCTGGGGCTTTTGATGCACCCAGAATGAATGCCTGGCACTGCTGCCATGCTTAAGGCCCTCTGGGACTGGGCCTTTGGTTGATGAGGGTGTTTCTGCTTGGAGCAGCCCTTGCTGCTCCATGATGAGCATGTGCCTGTTTGCACACAGAGGTACAGGAATGGTGCAGAGATGGTACATGCGAATTGGAGGCAATCCTCTTGAAAATTTGAACCATACTCTTTAATGTAACTTTAATTAGGGAAGTGTTAGGAGACCAAAAATTGAGGCAGTAAAAATAGCACCATTGTAATGTTTGATTTTTTTCAGTGTTTAAAACAGTGGTTCTTTATGAATCAGAGTTTTGCTATCAGCCTGATTTTTCCAAGTGACTAAATGTGTTTCTGTAGTTATTTTTTCCCTACCATCATTTGCAGGAAATGTGAAGACGTACACTGCATATGAAAATGGGGACTCTTTCCCAATAATTTCTTTACTCTTCATTTCTAATCTGTGATGCCTCTTAACGCAGCTGAAAAAATCAACTTCACGTGCATGGAAATATGCATTTTAATGTACAATTTATAGACAGGTATTTCATTGTGTTCTTGTTTACACATTGTCAGAGGATTGCTAGTGTTTATTAAACTTCCAGCCACTTTCTTCAAATAGTGATAGGAAACTTTTCTCAGTAATATAACTTGCATGGAGGTAATGAGGTTCAGCTGTGTCACAGGATTGCAGAATTAAGTTGAATGAGATTCAGAGTAAACACAGATGTTTGCAAAAGCCCCATGTAACTTTTTCAAAACAACATCAAGGGAAAAATACATTTATCTTTATGTATATCTTTGCCTTTTAATTACTGTATCTAATGACACTGTTGTGAGTGAGTCCATGTCCATATTCAACTAGAATTGTGGCTGACCTTTTTGTAAGCAACAGGTATGGCTGGTAGAGCAGATGAGCCTTTGGGATGTCTAACAGGAATGTAAGGAATATGGCTTTATTTTTTTTTGGATCAGACTGGGTTCAAGCACACCCTTGTTAAGAGCTAAGCAGGTTAAGAAAAATGACTAGACATGTTTGAGGCTTACTAATACATTCAGTTGTCTCTATGTGTATTTTTGTGCCTTTCTTATGGATGGGTCAAAATAATATATTTTTCAAACTATTTTATCATGAGTTGCATCACTGAGGTATTTTTTGTGTTGCTGAAGATTATTTCAAAATTGAATATATGTAAACATTTTCTAACTAGAAAATGTAGAATATTGTAAAGAATAATCTTTAATCTTTCCCATAAACTGCATTTAGCAAGTTCTTCTGTGTAGAGAGTCCATCTTTGTCACTGCCTAAGAACAACAGGGAAGGAATTACACAAGCTCAGCTAATATTTTTCAGAAAAAGAGAATAAGCAGGGAAAGTTGGGGAGAATGAAAATATGTGTTTGTGGGGGGGGGGGGTGTTGGCTCTGCAAACTGACAAACAATATCTACTTGAAATGTGGTTAGGAATTACCTGAAACGCGGAAGAATCTTAAAAAGATTGACTTCACTGGAAAGCATGAAGCGGTACCTCTACAGTCCAAAGAAGTGTTGGTTATCAGAAGAAAATGTGTACTTTTGGAGGTGAGATCAGTTCTGTGCTCTGAACCAAATGATTTTTCATTTTTTGTTCTGATAACAAGCTTGGAGGCAAGCTTCACTGAACTGAGAAATTGTAAACTCTTAGAAAAGGCTGTCGAAAGATAACAATTCTATGTTTCTGCGTAATGTATTCTGAATGAATCTGATAATTTAAAGCCCACTCCACCAAAATGGGAGTGATGCTTGTGTCCTCTTTATCTTCAATTATGTCTAATCTGTTTCTAATTTAAACATGATAATGCTGTTGTCAGATCAAATCTAGATTTTAAATGTTTTATTCTTCTCTATTGGCAATGTTTTAAATGTGGGCTCTTAAATGTCTGTGGGCAGTACTGACAGAGTCTATAAAAGTTTTAGGTAAATTTAAAGGAAATAAGAATGCTTAAAAGTGAAATGGCTCATAGTTCATGAGATGGAACATATTTAATGAATGGCAGCTAAGGAAAACTTGGGCAACAATCTCCATGGATTACCTGCTTAACCTCTAAGGAACCCTAATTCAATAAGTAAGTTCTGTCTTTCAGGTGAAACAGCACGGGTTTAGAAACAGATGTTTCAAAAACAAAAGTGTCTGTTACTCAAGTATTTTCCAGGATATAGATAAGTTAAGAATAACCATGATTTTATGAACTGTTATGATATATCTGTCACTGTCAGTAACTTGGAGTACCAATCAGAATTTCAGTCAAAATAAAAACTGCATCAACATGATTTATCAAGGTATATTCTCAGGTACTCCACATTCCGACAACAAAAAATGTAACAAAAAGAGCTTTCCCAACTAGACATACATTTTTGAGAAAGTGAAACTAATCTGAGTACATTGAATTTTGAATGTCCATTCTCATGATATCCGCATTAAAGAGTATTCACAAGTTTCAAATAAAACAGCTGATAAATTATTTAAAAGAGGATTTTTTTCTCCTCCATGATCAAGAACTAAATGAAGAATCCACCTGTATTTTTTGAAAATTCAGTTAACGAAACATTGAAATGATTCTAAAATATATTCTGATTGCAGGCTGATTATGAAGTTTGGTCTCAAGTTAAAAGTAATTTCTTTATTTGTGCTTTCTCCTCATCCTTAGATTTGTCAATAGAGTGTTGTTTGGGTATCTGGGGTTCAGTGACTGCCAAATTGATAAAAATAAGGGGAGAGATGGTGATGTTTGTTGTGTGGTCCCATTTTTTGTTTACGTGTTTTGGGGTTTTAGAGGGGTTGGGGTTGGTACAGAACAATCGTTCAGTTTTGTGTAATCTGCTAACTTGCTGAGGCTGCACTCAGTCTCACTGTCTGTGCCATTGGTAAAGATGTTAAAAACTACCAGCCCCAAGACAGAGCCCTGAGGAACACCACTCATCAGCAGCCTCCACATGAATGTAGAGCCACTCACCATAACCCTCGGTGCCCATCCAGCCCATTCCTTACCCACTGAGTAGCCCACCCTTTGCTTCCATGTCCATTTCCAATTTGGAGATAAGGGTGCTCTGTGATACTGCGTTGTGGGCTTTACAGAAGGTTAGGCAGATGGCATCATTTGGTCTTCCCTCACAGAAAGCATTGGTCAGGCACAGTTTGTCATTAGTGAAGCTGTACTGGCTGTCTCAGATCATCAACTTGTCTTGTACATGTTGTTTTATTGTAATATTCACCTTGCCTAGGCTTGCAAGAGCTGTAATGGAAACATATATAGAAGGAAACTCTTTATAAAAACAATCTTGATTTACAGCATCGTTCTTGTGATTTCTAAAAAATAATCCTAAATCCTGCTTGAAGAAGACTTTACTACCATTTGGCCTTGAAAAGCAATGCTATGAGAAAGTGTCAAATTATTCTGAATGACTTCCCATTTTCATATGGAAAACAGCAGTGCTGAAAAAGAAAAGTAAATGCCATTAGGATGCCAGTAGCTGGTAATCCAGGAGCCCGACTCCTTAGCTGTCAGATGTTTCCTCTGAATTCAGAGGGAATTGGTCATGGCCTGTCATTGCAGAACAGAGCCCAGGTCATTGTGTTATATAGTGATATGTCTAGATAAAAAAGAACTATAATAGCTTAAATTAGGTCCAGAGTTCCCAAGAGCTGGGGTATGTCAAGCTTATGTGGCTATGCTGCTGCAACTTCTTCACAGAAAGAGTCCCCAGATTTCATAAAGTTTAGCTAGAAATTTTCTGCTGAACATTAACTTAAACATTCAATACAGATTTTGAATGTAGTTATTGACATTCATATAATGGACTATATCTGCTGTAAACTTACTTTTATCCCTTTGCTTATGCAAAATATTCATGCATTTGTGTGCCTAAGGAGCCATCATGAACAAAAATAACTGAGAAAGGGTGTTGCTTGTTCAAATTTGTGCATAGATAACTTTTGCAGCCTAATCTGGGTGCTTTTGAATGACAAATTCAGGATATAAAATTATATATCAATGCTTAGAGAACAAAGGTGGTGTTTAGCTTTTTATTTATAATAAAACAGCCTAAAGTTATATTAATTTGTATTATGGCTATAGTTCTCTTTTTGTGTTGCTGCATTGTATCTGTCCTTCAGTGCTAAATATACAAACTGGTTTGTTCCTTTATTTAGCTGGAAAAGGCTCATTTGACTGGTTTGCTCAGCAGTGGTCTCATTCATTGCAATGTTAAGAGCAAAGTGGATATCTAAGTGTGACATACTGAGGATAGCAATTAGCTATGTGGAATGAAAAAAAATTATTCAAAAAGGAATGGTTTTCTCAAATTTTGCCCAATTATCTTGTGTAATTCAAGTAGGTCCTAGAAGTTCATTTCTACAGGGCTAAATGCAGTTATTAATCTCTAATTAAACAAATGAACAACTGAAAAGCTCACTTGGGACCCCCAAAAGCAGAATTGTTTCAAGCAAGTTTCTTAATGTTTATAATTCTCTCAACATGTCCTCCTCTTATCCCTTACTGTATTTGAAATATTCTCAATTGTCTGCCACTTCTGTTGTTAGACTGGAGAGCGAGCTGTCCAGATAAGAAATTACCTGCTCTGCCTTGCTTTTCTATTAATTTGCAGGCTTCATGATTTTAGAAGTGTGTGTACAGGTATATGTCTAAATACATATATGCTTATACATTTGTTTATAGTGGCCTAATTGACGAGTCCAGCAATTTTCTGTGAAGTGTTGACAGCGAGCAGACCTTTGTTTGCAGAGAAAAAGATGCGATCATCAGTACATTGCAGAGGCCCGGCACTCACAGTCCCCTATTAGCTTTGTGCATTACTGACCTCCACAGGCATTTCAGGGGAAGACACAGCAGGAAGAGACGAAGGTCAGTGCAGAAAGTGTTACTGCTTTTGCAGGCAAGTATTGTGTATTTAATCATTGTCTTACACCATTTTTGCATATAAGGCTGGGCTGTTCTTTCTGGTAAAATTATTGGTCTGTAAGAATTTTTTTCTTATTTCAATCTAAGGGTCAGTGATAAAGAGTGCTGTCACGTTTCACTGTCACACTCCATGTCACTGGCTCCACGTCACACTATCTATACTTCAAAACCCAAGTGAAGCTGTGATCACATCAAAAGATTACATCCAGATTAAGACACAGTTGTGTGCATTATTCTTCCTTATTGGTTCACACCAAGTTTGTCTGTGTATATGAAACCTAGATTTGAAGAGGTGATGAAATGTGAGTAGAACCCCTTCCTGTCCCATTCCAACAGCTGGATTTAATGTTTATTTTCTGTATGCATAGAATTTATTATTAGTTAAGCAAAGTGATGTGATAGTCATTAATGCAGGTGTGTTTATATTTTGAATACAGAAAGGCTCTTCCTTATCTACTCACACTTCAAAAGTAAAGTAAAGGGAGTCAATATTTCCTCAGCATCCAGATGTAGACTACAGAAAATCCTTGAAGCAGAAGAGAATGTTTGAGTTTGAATAGGCATCCAGAGAATTTTTTAATGTGTAAAATTCTTTGATTATCTGAAAATGTAAATTTATTGCCTAGGCAATTAAAAAAAAAAAATAGAGCAGGTCTAGAATCTTAGTGAATTTCCTGATGCGTCTTTAACAGCAAATACACTGCTTTCTGAATTTTAAGATTTTTTGAATGTTAAGGATGATTTCATGGTGACTGGGGGCCACCAGGTGAAGAATCCAGCTTACCATGACAATGAGCACTGGGCAGCACTTCTGTTGGGTCACAGGCTGTAGCAGTGACCAGCGGCACCTTTTTATACAGTGGAACCCTGAAGACTTGGCCTGACTGTTGAAGGATTCCCACAAGTTTGTAAATGTATTATTGGAACTGTAGGTCATTTACACTAACACTGATTGAGAGCATAAAAATCTTGGTGGGGAAACACACAGACAAATCTTTAAAATTAAATTTTCAGGGCAGAATTGCTGGTTTTTATTGGACAAAATGAGGAAATCAGCTTATTGATCTGACTCTATGCTCTTCATCTTTTATTCTAAAGAAATAAATACAATCCATGCCTGTATGGTTGCATGACCCTAGTTAAGCAAACTTTAGATGAGATCATAGTTGTTTATGGTACTAAAGCCACATAAGCATGCCTTATCAGCAGCAAAGTAATGCAGGCATAAGCTGTGATAGAAAAAAAAGTATAGATGGAGTATTTTGTAGTAGGCTTTAAGTGACTGCAGAGTATTCAATTTTTCAGGGGCATGCTACTGTCATGTGTTGCTACAAATGTCTGGCTCGATTCCCAGGCCTGTGGCTCAGTTCTTGAATGGTCAGGATGAGGAAGGACCACAGAGTTATGGGGAGTATATGTCTTAAAACAGGTTCTGGGTATGCCTCACGCTTACCACATATGCAGAATGAATATTTGGGTTTTTGCTCAAGTTTTCTGTACCTATGAACTCTTCTCAAGTGGCCTAAGAAAATATATTAAATTATTTTGTCTGTGAACTGAACAATATTACAAACTGAAGTCTTAGACTTCTGACTTAGTTTAATTCGCTTGCATAAAAAAAGCACTAGTAGTTCATTACCATAACCCTCCTTTGGATGGAAATGCATTAGTGGTGTCTGCACGAATAAGCAATGAAGAGTAGTGAGAAGAAAAAGCCTCACACAGTACCATGTGAACCCACAGTGTCTGCCTCAATTTGTACCTTTTCAGCATCTGACAGTGAATGATAACATTATTGCAATGGTATTTACTGGCACTGCTGGAGTATGGGGTCTGTCATTTTTTTCTATTCTGAATTGTTGTGCATGGTTTTAAAAAGTGCCCAAGGCTGAAATGTGTTTCAGAGGTCGTCAAGGAGGAAACAAAGTGATTTTTTCACTACTTTTTATGAAATTCGGCAAAACAATTTGAAGCTGGAGGAGTTCCAAACCTAAATGCACGTTATTATGGATTCAGATGGATAAGATGGTTCCTGGTGGGGATAAGTTTGTCATAGTGTCTTTCAGGAAATTATACAACTGTCTTTCGTTTTCTTCTATATTTCTTTAGCCTAAAGAGAGGAGGTTTCAAAATGGCCATTTAATAATCCCCAAGAAGAATAACCTTTACAGCAGTCCTATTTTGTAACATAAGAACTATGAAAACCTGGCCTTGGATGGATTATAACAGAATCCTGTCTATTGACTTATATTTTATGATTAAGTCACTAATCTGGCATCCAGCTTTACTTGCATTTGTTCAGAATGACAGGAGTCCCTTTCAGTGGTCATCACAGATTTCTCTTTTCATCAGCTTTTCCTCAGAGGTAATTGCAGCTGTACACAAGCCATTCAGTCTCCAAAAGAGGACAAAATTTATTTTAATGTCCATGAGTGCACAGTTACCTCAGAGATGAAGTTATTGTTGTGGAAGAATAGGAAAAGCTCCTGCTCTGATGAAACAGAGTGCCTGACAAGATTATGAAGCAAAAGATCTTCCTTATTTTTTATTTATATAGTTTTACATGAACAAAACATTGTTCATTTTTTGAAAATATAAATTCATTTAACCTTGAACTTATTTTACAGAACCCAAATATTTTGTAAAGTTTATTTCTAAACATTCTATTGGTTTTAGTATCTTGTACCATAAAGATTTTGCTGCTGCAATGGAATTGCTGTCACTGTAAAATGGGAGTGTTGCAGCTAACTGGTTTTTGTTAATGAGAATTTTTGATACTCATGAGGTATTTGAAGCTTTGAATTCAACGAATCATTAGTCCCAAAGCAAAAACATATGTTTCGGCATGTTAGGTGGACTTTTTTTTGTTACATTCTAGTCTACTGATTTACATGTGGAAGATACTTATAATTGTGGTTATACATCATCTTCAAGTGTCTCCCAGAGCTGTTTGCATAGTGGAGTAATTTCTCAGGAATAAAGTCACTTCACACTGGTGTAGAGCACCCAGACAGTGAGTTACTTAGAGTAGCTGTAATGCAACCTTGTTTACTGAATACATATTCCAGGTGATTTTTTCAAGAGAGAACTTTTGGGATTGTTTTTCCCCATTAATATTAATTCCATTAAAAGACAGTTTTATTTGGAGTCCTTGCTTATACTACAGCACCTAAATAATGTATACTTTTCTTTCAGTTTCCCTGAGTATCAAACATTTACCTAAATGGAATTTTCTCTGAGAATCTTGAGACAAATTCAGCCAATGCATTTTTTATTGTAAAAGAGATATACCTGCTTATCTCTGGTTTGAAATTTAGTTTTTTCTATTTTGTTACCTGCACACCTCTCATCCATTAATGCTACTAAAAAGATATTGAATAAGAAGTGAACTGATTCCTATTTGTGGAATTTTAATACTTTAGAAATGTGTTTTTACTTTGAAAACAAGCAAAAAATCAAACCATAAAGTTAAGGATTCCTTCCCTATAACAAACAGAATTCTAGCACAAAAGATAAAAATCCTCTTAGATTACTTTTCAGCATCAGTAGATTTTAAATGTTGAAACTCATATTGTTACATTTGTATACCATACATATTCATAAATATTCACCTGCTGATGAGTTGGAAACCATGGGCATTGCTGAGAATGCAGTAGAAGCTGTTTGTTTATTTTTTTAAATTTTATAGACAAGTATTAAAGATTGGATGAAAACCCATTGGAAACAAATAAATGATGAGCACATGGAGATGGAGCTCAGAAGATTTGCAAATGTGATCATTTCCCTAATGAACAGTGTTTCGCTACTTGAAATAATCTCTCGTGTTCTGAGTACTCTGCATTATGTAGGAGCCTGTAGCTTGTTAAATTCCCTTCATTAGAGAGTTTTTGAACTCAAAGGATTAAAAAAATTGGGGAAACGAGTATTACAGGATTGAACTCCCAAATCTCAAAGTACTTCTGAAAATATCTCACCGAGTTTATTTTTTCTTCCATAACCAGCAAATTACCCAACTGCCTTTCACATAAGATTCAGAAGTCAAATTCCAAGATGTAGTCACTAACCTGCTTGCTTCTTTAGTGCTTCTGTCATTTTGTTCACAAAGGTCTGCTGTTAAGAAATGAAGACCTGTCAAAGCATTAGGACATGGGATATGCACTGTTCAATCAAGGATTATGCATCTGAAAAGAGCCAAAGTTTAACAAATTAAAACTTCTTGTAAATCAGAAACCAGCATTTATGTGCACAATAGCCTTTGTGTTCTACATTTGCAGAATTTTGGATAACTTTATTCCTGCAATGTTTGTACCTTAATTCTAAAGCAAAGTTTGTCAGCTGTATAAGACATGGAGGACTTTTTCATTGTACAGCTGCACAGAGGAGCTGTGAGCTGAACAGATATGTGTAGCTAAAGCAGTAGGGAAAACGGCAGTAAAAAGACATAGGTGCACACAATGGTGAATGTAAATTAACATCCTAGGGGTGGCTTATAGGAATTAAATATCATCTGGACATGTAGGTACACAGTTTGTGGTGATTGGGAGTGGGGCTGTGGCCGAGCCTCATCCCTAATGGGCTACAGCTATGAGAAGCAGGTGAACAGCATTGAAAGCAATGAGCCATGGAGCACTGACCAATCATCAAAGGGAACAGAGGGCACACAGGTGCAATGCATCAACATGAGGGGTATGAAAGGTTGAGCTAAAGAACAAGAAGGGCAGATGCCTGAAGCCTTCTGAAGTTGTATGGTGTTACTCTGTATGGGCAGGCACCTGAAGTCTTCTGATGAGGTATGGTGTTAAATTTTTTTTTGTGTGTGTTGTATTGTGATACTCCTCATATCATGGCCATTTCAACTGTGGCAAATGCTGTAGTGTATGATGCAATGTGGACACGTAATAATCCAGACTCTGCTAGGTGTCTCTCTATTCATACCC